TCAAAAATAATTATGTACCAGTCTTCCATTTATATCATCCATCTATTTCTTAGGAAAACAGTTCTTTGGAAAGGTATTTCACTTGTTCCTGTCATATGCTTCCCCGGTTTGATAATTGAATAATTTTTGCGTACTCAGAAGAGACACTTTCCAGTAACCCAAATGATCCTCAGCCTGGTTTTATTTATTTTTAAAATTTTTATTTATTATTAAAAAATTTTTTTTTCTCAGCCTGGTTTTAAATGGGCAAGGCAGTAATAAGCTCCAGGAGGCTGGGAGCTGTACGCTAACACCAAGCACGATGCCTTCTGTAGAATACAGGGGCGCTCACCTAGTATTTACTGAATGAATGAATAGTGAAATGCCAATCAAAATCTGTTAGACGGTATTTTTGAACTTTGAAGTATTAATAGCTCTGAAGTTCTTTTTTTTGTAGAAAATCAAGTGGCTTCCTTCAGCCCTCTGTCTAATGTATATTCACGTTACATCATGAGTAATAAATTCTTCTCTTTGACCCAGGAATGTGTACCTTATAACCAGAATCCCGAATGGGCAAACATATGTGCTAAAGATGGTCAATGTCATTTATCTCAAGTCATTAACATTTGGCATGATCCACTGCTGCTTTAAGAAAACTGCATGACGATAAATGCACCTCTGCTTTTATTTACGTAATTTTAAATATTGATAGAAAAAACCTCCTTAACTAAACATATTTTCCTGTTGTTTATTGGAATGCTGGACTTGAAGCCAGAGGATGTGGACGAGGTCTTGTTCTACTATTCACCAGTGACCAGTGTGAACTTGAACAAGATTCCTAACCTCGCTGGTCTTTTATTGATAAATAATACCTGATTCAGAAGGCTGAGTATTAAGCATGACCAAAAACTCTTAAAATACTCTACATACATAAGGCTTTTTTTTTTTCTATTCAAATTCCAAGAGAAAATAGTTGAATTGTTGACTTTCCTCATGTCTACGTGACAGTGAGACTGTTTTGACAAGAAATTAATGGGAACAGATGCTTGGCACTATTCTTGTTACCAAATCTAGTTCATATCAGGATAATGCTTGATCTAAATGCTTGCTTCAAACCTGTTGGCTGTGCCGGAGTGGAGAAATTTCTAGTGAAAATGTTTAGAGACTAATTAGGTGAACACTAGGCATTCAGGGTGTCACTCCTGTATTTGTGGCCCAACTCAAGACATATATCCGTGCACCCATTTCTATCCTCTTGTGATCGATCTCAATCTTTAAGCTAAAACAACCTTGTGGCAATTTACACCCGTTAGGATAGCCAGCAGAACTGAATTAACAGTGCCTGGGACTGTGTTATTTTGAGTTCATTCAAACAGTCTTTCCTTGTCGACATTTGTCCCTGGTCACTGAGCCAGGTGACAATGAGCAAGCTCTCCCAGCAGCAGAAACCTCCAGGGCCCCTCAGGGAAACAGCCTATGTCCCCACCACTTAGGCAGTGCTTCTCAAACTGGGGATGTGTTTTCCAGGGGGTACGAAAGAGGTATTTGAAGTTAAAAGAGTATCCATTTTACTAGTCAGTAAGTAAGAGAAAACATGAGTTCTTTGATATTGAAACATATGTTACGAAGTAAAATGCAGCATTTTCATGACTTTTTTTTTTTGCGGTACGCGGGCCTCTCACTGCCATGGCCTCTCCCGTTGTGGAGCACAGGCTCCGGACGCGCAGGCCCAGCGGCCATGGCTCACGGGCCCAGCCGCTCCGCGGCATGTGGGATCTTCCCGGACCGGGGCACGAACCCGTGTCCCCTGCATCGGCAGGCGGACTCTCAACCACTGCGCCACCAGGCAAGCCCCTTTCATGACTTTTTAATGGAAAACATAAGACTTTGCAAGAACTCTGTGCTTGGTCTATTCCCAGACCAGTTCAGGCAAATATGTTCATTCTCTGCATTAGGTGCAGTTCATTGAAAAGGTTAAGGAAGCACTGCACAAGTGCATTTTGGGAACCCTAGGTGCTTCCCTGTGAAACAACAAAGTTAAAGTTTTTTTTTTTTTTTGTGGTACACGGGCCTCTCACTGTTGTGGCCTCTCCTGCTGCGGAGCACAGGCTCCGGACGCACAGGCTCAGCGGCCATGGCTCACGGGCCCAGCCGCTCCGCGGCATGTGGGATC